CCGCCTGTGCTAGGGAATAAAACCCACATCACTGAAGTTAAGTAACATATTATCAAAGCAGTGTCTAAACGACAGACATTTATTTAAACACCATAAATACATGAAGTAAGAGAAAGTGGCGCAATGGTTAACACTATGAAAAATAGAATCACGAGATGAAGATCAAAGAAATACATGAAGCCACTTTTCCTGTTCAGAATTCCCTCACTTTCAGCACATTCACTCTAATCATTACAAATAGAGATTAGCAAATGCTTGTCTTGCCACTTTCTTTTTGTTATCGTTTATTTGTTCATTTGGTTGTTTTTAGTGCTGACTGCATTTGAAGACAATGTTCGTTGGAGACAAGGTTTCCATTTTCTTCTCGCTACCCACTGTCTGTAGATAAAAATAAATATACTGTTTAATAAATAAATGGAAGCTCTACTCAAATACGAGTAATAAAAATCTGTCGGATTAATAAAAAATCAATCTGCTTTTTACACATCAATGTAATATAACAGAGCTATTAAGTATATATTAATAAATATACATTTTTCACACACAACGCAATCTTCAAGTGCTGAATAGAGCACCTGAAGATTGCGTAGTGCATGAAACTCTCTGTCGTGGTACCGGTGAAGAAGAAAAAAATAATATATATATATAATAGAAAGGCTTAAACACTAATATTACATGGTCATAATTTATTCCATTGGAATCGTAAATACGACCCAATTCATCAGACCTACAAATTCAAAATGAGAACAGAAACATTCGTCCCACACTCTCATACATACACTCTCACTAAATTTTATTTTTTATTCCTGGAGTTGTTTTTTCTGTTTTCTTTTTGAATTTGTAGGTCTGATGAATTGGATCGTATTTACGATTCCAATGGAATAAATTATGACCATGGAATATTAGTGTTTAAGCCTTTTTATTATATCCTTACTCTGTCCTGGACATTGAGTTCTACCTGGATTCTATCCTCTTGGAATTATTTTTTTATACAAATGTATGTATGTATGTATGTATATATATTTATATATTTTAGATATATCATTGCATATGTATGTGTATATTTACCACTAATATTATCAATCAATATATATATATATATATATATATATATATATATGCATTGCTATGAATTTTATTAAATAAATGCATTGAAAATCGGGAAGAAAGGAATTGTAAGCTGATAGAAATTAAGCATTACTGATAGAATAGGGCTATTATATGTATAAGTTAAATGCGTTGTTTCTTTTCTCCCACTCATTGCTTGTGGAACTTTTTTCCGGCTTTCCGCTTTCCTGCCAACTACAATCTTCAAGAATTTTAATGCAGTGTCAATCGCCATCTTCTGTCTCTTTGAAACCTGTTCTTTTATTATCCTCACTGTTTCTCTCGCTCTCACTAATTCCCTAAATCCTAGTGGTTTCTATTATCTTGCTTGGAATGAAAGGATATCCAAAAAACAGGAAAAATATAAAATATATGTCGTCTACGCTCCAATTGAAAGTCATTATTATTAACTACGATACGGTTGCAGGCTAGGTTGTATTGAGACGAAAAATGGTGACCCCATATTGTCGGTTAGGAAAATTAGTAAAAGTGCTGAAAACATCAAAGATACCGTTTTATCCGGTACGTAACAATTTCAGCCATGTGGCGAGTCACATCGACGACGTGCCCTTTATTCGTAGCCGTCAGTCTAGCGACTGTAAATCCGTTTATGCCTCTGGCGTATGAGCACCAATTGCTGTTCAACTCGCTATTATCCAGCAACAATAAGAAACGTTTGACAATTTACGTTAAGTTGAAAGGTGACAAAAAGTCGCGCTTATTACAATTAACCTCGACACAATCCGACAATAAAATAAAAGATAATTGCAAGTCGAAGTCACGCGTTTTTATAAAGAAAACAATGAATAAACTTTTTTGTGATATTAAAAAATGTGTATTAACGTCAATGATCTCCAATCTACACCTCCCCTCCTCCCCTCTCTCCCTTCTCTCTCCCTCCCCTTCTCTCCCCTCCCTCCCTTCTCTCTCCCCTCCTCCCTTCTCTCTCCTCCTTCCCCTTCTCTCTCCTCCCTTCCCTTCTCTCGCTCCTCCCTCCCCTTTTCTCTCTCTCTCTCTCTCTCTAAGTAATATCCTTTAATCTTTGTACTAGTCTAACTGAAGAGTTGGTTTATATAGTCAAGTACTTACTCTGAACGGGATGAAAAAGCATGGTAGTTTTTGGTGGGGATTAGTTTGGTGTGATGGTGGGACAATGAAATGCTAATTTTCATAGGAACCCCTACTCTTTAAGCCCCACTAAGATCGCCTTTGGATTTACTCTTGTAATCAGATCTTTGCCTAATCGATAATCTGCCTTGGAGAATAAAAGGAGAAATACAGGTAAATAATGGTAAGAAGGGATTTTTCTAAATAAAAACGTGTGAATCAAAACCAGCTTCAGGTGTTAGTAATAATAAAGATTTTGACTTTAGCGACCAACTCTGCCACTATTATTATTGCTAGGGTGGTACCCGTCAAAAATGACATGATTGTTTGCATAAAGATCAGCACTTTTCTACCGTGTTTCTGACCTCGGACAGTTTCAGGAATAGCTTTAACGGATGCCGATGTCTGCGTACGGTCACCCTAAATTAAAAACGACCTTGATTTATATTCTACCGCCTTGGGGGAGGTGAGCAAATACATCATGAAAATATGGCGCCCCACCCACTGGCTTTTGAGCTGGGATCAAAGTGTAGTATCTGTTCTTCACCTTACTATCGTGTTTCTGTGTTATAATAACTTTTATAATAGTTTTTTGCAGAAAATCCCTGAGGATGCCTAGTCTCGGGGATTCCAACCCTATGCCAGAACCTCCCTAAAGAAGGGCAGTTTATGACAGTGATAGCGGGGACTGGGCAACCAATTTTTGCCCTTAACCCATTTGTACGAGCATGGGCATCCTGCATTAAAAATGACATTGAATCACATCCTACCTCTGTGGAGAGATCGTTAAATACTAATCAGAGTGTAGTAACTGTGTGCTCTGCTTAGGATCAGGGCTTGTTTTGTAAAGAAAAAAAAAAAAGAAAAATTTTGAAAATATTAACAATCATAAGTCTCATAACCTATTAAGATCATAGGGGCACAACATATACTACAGTTGTAGCAGCAATCTATGTCTAGAGCAAGATATCCTGACGAAGCCCATCCCTCTCTGGGTAGGCATTTTAGTTCAGAATAGCTCTTCTAAACTGAAAACTAAAAAACCCAGTTTACTGCATTATTTACAAAGCTCTGAATTCACAGTTTTCTTTCTCGAAGATTGATACCCTAAACAAGGTTAAAGAGATCAGTCTGCCCTATTATTTATGATTTCTGAATTCAGAGTTTTTCCTTTTCCTAGACTGAGAGTCCAATTTGCTCTGCTATTTCACACCTCAATAGAAGACAAATTGATGCCTTCTCCAAGAGCATTAGTGCGAAGTGAATGAAACAAACTTGGTCAGAATTTGAACTTGGCACCCTGATTTCATTTTCTGTGCTGGCGACAAAGCACACTATTTGCACATCCCCAAAATATTTGGTATTTTTGTGCCGTATTAAGCAAGTCTATAAGTTGACTTCTTTCTTGGTTCTGTTTGTCTACTCTTTCAAACTATGTTTATAGAAGCTAATTTTACTTTATTTTGCTGAAAATAATGGCTGAATATAAGATAGAGATTTAACATCATTTACTTTCCATGTTTTAATGCAAGGGAATGTAGCTTATGTTAATGATGCAGTAGGTGCAAGCAAGTATTAGAAATGGTTTTCAAAGTTCAAAATGTAAGACATTAAACTACATCCACGTCCTGGGTAAGACGATAAACTACATCCAGCAGCAAGGCCTCTGATCAGGAGGTTTTGAGGAATATGGAACCACCTCTTAATTGCTGGTTTTCCCAGGTTCTCCCTGACCCAGGGTGGTAGCACCTGTTAGGGTCCCAGCTATGGGCAAATATTTAACTATTCAATTTTGAATCAAAATATTACCAGAAACAGATTTTTGACAAAACAAAATATTACCAGCAATAAATATGTTGTTGGCATTAAATAACCCATTCAGGTTGATATGCCGTAAAACAAAATAAACCAAACCAAAATGTAGATCTTGAACTTAAGGACAAAGAACACATTGGAAGATCTCAATTGAACACTTGTGAACTGGAAGATTTTGAAAGATGCAGAAGAATTTCAATGACACAAATTTTAATGAAACATTGTAACTTTTTAATGAAAAAATTGTAACAATTAATGACACATTGTGAATTTTAATGACACATTGTAACTTTTCTGGCAAACCAGAAAGGACATTTGAATTTACAGCATTACAACGCCCGTTCTTGTGTTGCAAATATGACTCAGAAAATGCTTGTCATGGAGCACGAATACGTAGTTCTCTCCTAATGCAGTATATTTTTTCAAACCTTCTCAGATTATTGTGAATTTCATTCCATGAAACACTCCTTGTCTGATCAGCATTTCTAGAAAGTTCTGATATCGAAAAATTCCTCAAAGAATACATTTAATCATTCTTTTTTGATAGAATAAACAATTTGTCTAAAAGGCAGAGTAAGGCGGGGAAATACTTTGATGGCTGAATAATGATGACATGAATTTATACTAATAAGAGATTTGTGAAAAAAAAATGATGGTACCAACTTATCTGAAAAATGGTGAAAGATGGAAAAGAAATATTAAGTAACCATGCTGCAAATTGATACAAAAGATTTTGTCTATAACATTGAAAACTTTTTCCTCAAGTTTATATCTGTCCTTACAAGCCAGGCGACATATTCATAAAAAGAGACCTTTAATCATCTGCTATAGAGTCATAGTTAGCAAGCTGGTATAATGAGTTTGATTATTATGATTTGATTTATTACAGTGGCCTTTTACCAAACTAAGCTACGCTGTCCAAATTACTAGTATTATAATCAGTATTGTTCTAGACATGACGTTGAAGAGGATTATAAATGTAAAGGGGAACAAAGAAGAGCAAAGCGTAAAGGCTGGGAAGAGAAACACATAAATATGAAAAAGGTCAGTAAATGATGTGTAAGTAACCAACAGAGAAAGAAAGGGGGGACAGGTGACAAGCTATTATACACAGCGCTACTGAGGCAGGTGCTTAGGGTCACATGGCAGACCCACATTGAAAAGGTAGCATGTGGCTTTAACTGTAACTGGTTATCGATCCAGAGGTTAGCCATTGCTGAATTAAGCCGATGGCATTGTGTATTAAATCCCTATTCATATGAGCAACATTGAGTAACAGATAGATAGATGTCAAATAAACTTAGTCTGGCACAAGGTTAAAACAGTGGAGCACTCAGTGAGAACTGAACTTATTACACAAGGAGCAATGTCCCAAAACATTGATCTACAGAAGGTTTCAATAGACATCTAACACGGCTAGATAGGTTTCGATAAACAAATTGAGATAGATAGATTTGATCATACAAGGATGGATATATAAAGAGATTGATAAAGAGAGGGAGAGAGACTGATATGAAAAAACATAGATAGATAAGAACAAACATAGACATGAAGATAGATATGAACAAACATAGATAAATATGAAGATAGATAGATATGGAGATAAATAGATAGGAAGATAGATATGAACAAACATAGATAAAAAGATAAATATGAACTGATATGAAGATAGATAAATAGATACATATGAAGATAGATAGGAAGGCACATAGATATGAACAAACATAGATAGATATGAAGATAGATAGGAAGATAGCTATGAACCAAACATAGATATGGAGATAGATATGAACATAGATAGATAGATAGATAGATAGATATGAAAATAGATAGATAGATATGAAAATAGATAGATATGAACATAGATAGTTATGAAGATAGATATGAAAATAGATAGATATGAACATGGATAGATATGAAGATAGATATGAAAATAGATAGATATGAACATGGATAAATATGAACGAAGATAGATAGATAGATAAATGGATAAATATGAACGAACATAGATAGATAGATAGATAAATGGATAAATATGAACGAACATAGATAGATATGAACATAGATAGATATGAAAATAGATAGGAAGATAGATATGAACATAGATAGATAGGTAGCTAGCTAGCTAGATAAATAGATATTCATATAAAGAAATTATAGATATAATTTTATACTACTGTTTATCCAGTACAAAGCCCGAGAACCAATCAAGGTAGATGGTTAGTGAATGATGTTGTATTATGAGTGGAAGTAAGAAGTGAATATTATGAGACTACATAAAAGGTTCACTCTAGATTTGAAGGATTGTAACAATTGGGAACGCATCCTCTTGGATGACTGTTCAACAATGTAACAGTTCTGAGTAAAAAAACTGTCTGAGTGGGACTTCCTCCTTACAAATGGAATATGAAAAGATTGAGAATGAGTCAACCTTGTGCACATGGCACTGCATGTTCGAGCTGTGAAGGTCTTGAAGTTGTGAAACAAAGAATTAACTTGTCTGAACTTTTACTATGGTGATAGAGCTGAGAGAGGCTATCAATGTTTTGTCCTTGGGAAAGTGATTATAGGGTGAAAAATAATTCATCACCCACAAGGCCGTATAGATAGATGGATGTAGTATTGAATATTATTTAAATCTCTCCCTCTCTTTTTCTCTCTCTTTCTCTCTCCCCAATACCCTGTCCAAACACGAAAGTTCATGTTGCAAAAGTAATTTTAATCTCTGCATCCTTATTTTTTAAATCATCTTATTATAAATGTTTATTTTCTTTTTCTTTTTCTGAGCTTCTTTTTCATGTGATGTGGAGGAGGCTTCTTTTATTAGAAACAAATTGTGGTGTTCAAATTTTAGACAACATTTTTTTCTTTTTTTTTTTTGCTTTTTAATCATTTCAAACCCCACAAGGCAATAAAGCCACTAAAACGCATAAGGTTACCAAGGATGTAAGAATATGAGAAACAAAAAACTATTAAGGAAAGAGAACAATAAAATAATAGGAATTAAGAAAACAGAAGATAACAATTTAAATTTATATTTAAATTGTATAAATTCTTAATTAATTTATATTGCTTCTTTTCATTTTCCAGGTAAGTGATCTCATTTGCAAGGCCCTTCACAGAGGGACACAATCAACTAGTTTCAGATTCCCTGTTGTCAGGTAAGATGACTAATTAGAAAAGTTAGGAATATTTTTAACAATATTTTTGAAGAAATCAAAATGAAAAAAAGCATCCCCTACACAAACACACACACACTTATATGGGTTTATGGTCATACCACATTGAAACACTGTTTCTTGTACGATCTCAGCAACATCCAGCCTGGTCAGTACTTAGATGAGTGACCACTTGAAAATACCAGATACCGTAAGCTTGAATAATAGGAGAGGCCAGTCTCAATTGTTGTTGGGTGTGTTATATTCACTTATGCTTCGGAAAGTTGTGGATCCACCTCTTCTCCCCCAACTATGGATTAATTAGTAGAACGTGTATCAGTAAAAATCATTATTATCTAAAAAAAATTCTTACAATCTAAGAATATTTTCTGGCTTTAAATAAACAATCACTCAATCACACACACACACACACACACACACACACACAGAAGCAGTTATTGGTACAGAAAGTGG